CCTCTCTTGATAGATGATGATGGACGTGTTGAGTCCACAGCTTCTTGTTACCGCAGTTTCGTGGGAACCGAATCTGACGTGACGTCTAGCCTTCGTGCTGCCTTGCGTTGCGCTGCGGAGCTTGAGTGCCAGTATGGCCAGTCGATTGAGCAAACGTTTCGAGATCTTGATGGAATGTGTGATGGAGCATCGCATTCACAGGGTTGTCGGCTGGCACACGTCATGTACGATGCTTGGCAACGCCGGGGGGGCTGCAGAGTTGATGTTGATACTGGTTGTTTGGTTTTTGACGGTTCTCAACATGTTATTTTCTTTCCTCAATGTATTACCGGGGCATCCGGCTTTGGGCGAGCATTCCGAATGTGCGAGGCACTCTCAATGTCTAGTAGGCCCATGCATGTAGTATTCAAGCGTGCGTTCACAGAACCCCAACTGCATCGAAAGAAGAAGGAGCCTTTCCAGAGCTTGTGGCGAGCACTTCAAACAGCTCTGCTGCCGACTGCGGCTTCCCCACAAACCTTAAACCCTAATAAGCCCTAAACTCTAAACCTTAAGCCCCAAGCCCTGAAGTAAACCTTTGCATAATTAGGGGAAGCCAGGATGCAAATCCGGGCTACGCATCTGGAATCGAGACGATCCGCCCCCTCCTTGCAGGATTCCCAGGACTTCCAGCAATTCTAGGGTTTGGGGTTTGAGAATTTAGGGTCAAGGGTTCAGGGGTTAGGCTTTTGGGTTTGGGGTGGGTGTAAGGATTTAGGATTTGTGTTAGAAGCTGCTGGAGTAGGATTGCAAGGGATGCGAAGCATACAAAGATGATAGAGGGCTTTCAGATTAGAAGGGCTGCCAAAATTTCATCCCTTCCCCTGAATAATGTGCACCCCCCCAGTACTAAATTCTTCGCCCAGGATGCTCAATCCCCAAGAACAGGTCTAAAAGGCCAAGACAACTCTTGAAAAGGGCCAGTCAGGATGACCCTAAGAATGAAGTAGCGGGGTTCTGAGATAATTCGGGGAGTCTTTAATCTGGACGGCAGGATCTCCTGTATTTCCGCATTGTTTTTTGTTGTTTGTAGGGGTCCTCTAACTGTTTGTATATGGATAAACTAGCGGAACTTAGAATGCAGTTTCCCCCCATTTTAAGTTCAGTTGCTTTCAAGAAATTGTGAGATGCTAGTTGAGCTTCATTAGGTTTGTATTGGTGTTCACCATAGTGTAATGGTTTAAATGAGAATATGGCCTGGAATTGTTTTTAAGTTGATGAACATTCATCACTTGATTTTGGTTAGGCTTTTCATTTGCATCGAGTTCAATTCGATGGGTGTCAATTCGGTTTTACTTAACTTCAGCCGGAAGCTGTAGCTGGCTTCAACTAGGATTCAATGACTAGGATTGAATTGGTTTTTGTTATGCTATCATTGGTTTGTAAGGGAATTCTCATCGGACTAAATCATTTTCTTTATTTAGTTAGATAGTCCGCTTGTTCGCTTTTTACAAGGAAAAAAGAAGCTTACTAACAAATATTCCTGGCGGATTTTGTAACACGGCCAGGGGACAACGTTTGTTGCCGGGGAGAAGGAACAAGGGAGCAACGCACAAGGAGTCTCAAAATTGTTGAGCATACATTCGGCGTACAGAATTGTTTGGAAACTACATCAAGAGCATACAGAAGCGAGCTAGGACATTTTACAGATTCTGATATGCGGGGCTTGTGTTGTTTGATTATTTTCTATTAGTAAACAAGACAGCATAAGGGGGTTGTGGGCTTGTGCAGGCTTTATCAGACTCAAGGGTTAGGATGTGTTGGGGCTGCCTGTGCAGTTTGGGATTTGCGCAGTTCCAGGGTCTGGGGGTGTCAGACTTGCAGGTATTCCGAGCTTGGGGATACACATCTAGATATGAATTATAATGATGGGTTAAATCGTGGGCGCAAATGTTTCTATTCAGCGGGGCTACCAAATCTTGATGTGTGAAATTGCTGCGGTTGTATGAGAGCAGGTACAAGACAAACGATAAATGCCAGATATGCAGGCTGAGTATGGCGGCCCGAGCAGCTTGACCATTCCTTTTTTTAAAGGAACAAGGAAGGCGCAGTTTCCCTGTGCAGACTCATGCACTGTGGCGAGAGGGATATCCCAACGAACCCTCATTTGTGGCAAAAACTTCCCATTTTGGCGAAGGACTTTGAACATAGTAGTAATAGTAATAGCAATAACAATAACTGCATGATAATCATGATATTCTGCGGTGTCTGATTCGGGGACTTCCGAGGGGCGTACAAAGATTATGTGTGCGTAAGCCTTTCGGGCTTGGGATTCTCTGGGGGTGAGTGCCATCTGGGGTGCCCCTGTAGGGAAATCATGAACATATATCCTACGTTGAATACAAAAAAATGCTGCATGACCCTGAGTACCTCATACCTTGGGAATTATGTTATGCCAGCATACTACGATCATGCAGGATTTTTGGTTTCGCCACACCTGAAAGAGTGCAGTAGCAATATCTGCAAGCTTAGCTTGACTACTAGAAGCATGGTAGCACTGCTTATAATCTTATGCATTATTAGCGGCAATCTGATATGTCCAACATAAACCCTTCATATAAACGAACAAGGCTCAAGCTGAGGGTGGAGTCCTGCCCCGACTCGGCTAGGGCTTGAAGTACGAGTGGAGCTTGTAACCTGCGGACTAGAGGGGTCCTCAGCACAACAATGCTCTCTGGAGCCAACATCCTAGATGCCAGACGCTAAGCACTAACCTCTAAATCCAGATCCGCAAAGGGCCAAAAAGCCCCCAAACCTTTCCTCCCCTAACCTGCAGCCAGATGCGCATGCCAATTTCAACTCCCAGCATACCAGGCGCGCCAATGCCGCATTCGTGATCTGAATCAATGCTTCACGGATCATTATTCATCCCTCAGATTCAACCTTCACCATGAGCCCTCAGGGACCCCAGGATGTAGAGGGGCTCTTTAGGGATTGGTTCGATTATGAGTTAAATGCAGGAACGGTTCTCAGATTCTACTTGTGTAAGAGATATTCAATCCCTGAATCCTACGCCCTGTGCACCAAAGCAGATATCGTTCTCAGAACCTCAAAACAAATAGATCGTTGTTCTACAGGATCTGTCACAGGCCCACAGTATTTGGCAACTTCCAGAAATAGAGGTGCCCCAATCCTTATGATGGGAACCCCCTAAAAGGTGCCCCTCAGTTTGGCAAACCCTAAACCCTATGTATCCCAATAGACCCCTAAAGCCTCCTTTAATTGCTACCGCTAAATTTCAGAAGCCCCAATTTAAACGGTATGGAGGTGACACCTCAGTCTTGGAAACTACCTTGGTCACAAGCTGGCTGACTGGTGACCGGTGGGCAACGTACGACTGGAAAAGCCATGGAAACTATCATATCCTAGGGGAGTATACAGGAACTACCATAGGGATCCATTCCCCCATCCTCGACTGAACATTAGCAAGCAAACCCCAATACCCAAAAACCTCAAACCCAAACCCTCGGAGCGCATATACCAGCCATGAGCAAGAAATCCTAAGCCCAAAGACAAACCTAGAACCTCTAAACCTTAAAAGCCACATGTTGGCCACTACCTACTACTTCTACTAGTACAAGTTTCCATTTGGAAATTACCACCCTAGTTGACAAGCCGAACTAGATTGCCTTGCAAGGTCGGCAGCGGGTGCTTCTGCAGCCTATGTGGGCTCCCAGGCTCGAGCACGTCTACTTGGGAATTGCTGTTTCTTTCTCATGAAAAAATAGCCCGGAGGAATTATTGGAAAGAACATTCTCGTTATAGGTATACGGGGATTGCAGAAATTGGGTGGGTACATGAAGGCTTTGGCAGTACATTTTAGCATCACTTTGAACAGGGTCCGGGTGAGATATTGCTGAAATTGGGTGAGGGCATTTGGAGATAGTGATTTTGAAGCATGTTCTGGTATAACTAAAGGCTAGAACAAGGTTTTGGAGATTGCTAGTATACTTCTGAAATAAGACGAGGTTGTTGAGGATTACTTTGATATCAGAATGCCTGGGCTATAATGATGAAAATAGAGTCTTGGGCATGATATGGTAAACTTCGACGCTAGATATTGAAGGAGAATCTCCTTAATTTCTTCATGGAACGGGGCTGAGAGTTGAGGGAAGAAAGGGTGGAGTGCTGAGGCGAGTGTTTAGGGCTTCGGATTCAAAAGAGAGGGCTTACGGTTTGGTTGTGAATCTTTTCAAAGTTTTTTGCCGCCTTGCCTTAAGTGCTGAATGAGAATTCTTTGTTGCGGGTGGTTGCTCGTTCCAGGCAAAGGATTCTGTAGGCGTTCCTCTGCAGTTTCCCAGATTTCGTAGCTTTCTACACGAGGGCTGTTCTTACAGGTGTTCAACATGCGCAGAAGCGGGAACACTTTATGCCTTTTGAATAATTGTCACCCCCGCCCACAACGTTAGCTATGAAAGCTGCCTCCACTTCACTTGCACATCTTCCGACGTGAATGCTGCGAACGCCGAACCACAAGACCCTCACAATCTGAAGCCGAGCAGTTGGCACCGGAAAGTCTGAGGCCGGAATGAATTCGTTTCACGATCCTTCATCGTGCTTAGGACTCAATTTTGCAAGTGTATGTACAGGCAGTTCCTACCACAGTGTGTGTAACCTTGACATGTGTGTAGGGAATCCGAAGATGGCACCCCTTGTTCCCAGCAAATCCCCTCGTGTGGCTGAGGGCCTAAGCCCGAAAGGTACTGCCAGTTTGGGAAGCGCTCATGTGGTCCTCAGTTGGCCAAGCTCTTTCTGCAACTCCTTCAGCTTGACCAAAGCGGTGGGACCATAAAGAAGTACCGGGCCACCTTCCCTTGAAGTCTTGTAACCTTCATTGATGTCATACGCAGCACTTCATATTTCAATTTCCTAGAATTCCGTTACCCCTAAAACGAATTTCTGGAAGCTCGCAGCGTGGAATGTTGCGAAGAGCTTGAGATTGGATCCGGTTCTAAGCAAATTGCGGCGACCCGCAGGCGGTCTTCTGATCTGTGGGTGCACGTTGAGGGATCCTTACACAAAGCTTGCACCACTTTTAGGGGGTACGTATGGAGAAGGAACACATTTACCAGAGGCGTCAGGCAACCTGGCCCAGCCCCAGGCCCTAACTTGCTGGGTGCTGGTAGGGAATGAACGAGTGAAAGAGAAAAAGGAAGTTATTGTCTTATTGGAGATTAAATATGTGGGGGCTAGGGCTGATATAGGGATCCAATCCTCCATTCCTTACAAACAACCAGTAAGTGAATGTCCCAATGCCTTGCCGCTCTTCACAAGCCCTTGTGCTGATTTCCTTCGATAGTCCTTGGAGGCTCCACCCTCCCGGTCTTGACTCTCTCGAAGATGAGGACCGCAGAATGGCTGGATCAGGGTTTCATTATGACACGTTTCATCAGGGTCTAATAATTGGATTTCGAATCCTGCTGCATCATTGGGGGTGATTGCTGCGTGGGAGCGGTTTGCCTCTTGGTGCTTGCAATCTCTCCTGTGATTTGACTACTCTGTGCCACCCTCAAGTGGGCTTCTGGACTCTTGCACGTTACGTTTCAGGACCGACAGTAGGGGTGATTCAGGGCTTACAGGGTTTGACCCTCCACCCCCTAACAACAAATATTCCCCCCCATTACAGAATAGTACCATCTTGCTTCAGGTGGCTTGGCCAACAGGACCGGGAGCCTACTGGGGCCCATGCTACAGTCTCTACCCTCGACCTTATTGGGGTCTAGTATGTAATAAGGGAATATACTCCCTATGCAATCCCAATGCATGTAATATATTCCCTATTCCTTACTACCCCACAGTGAGAAACAATGAACCTTACACTGCGTGGCTTGACGGTGGCATTAGTAGCTGTGGGAACCCTGGCACTTGTTCAAAGAGGAAGATTCGTCAAGGTTCACAAATAGGGTTTGTCAGATAAGTCTCGTAGCTAAGACCTGAACCTTTAGAAGCTGAGGAGGGGCGCCTTCTAATTTCCAGCCTACGCAATCCTTCTTGCTCTTGATGTTTTCGTGTTTCCATACTTTGGCTTCCATGACAGAGGATCTTGTTCATGGAAACCAATAAAGTCAGGAATTTAGTTCAAGTCACAAGGAGGGCAGCTAGCCAGAACTGAGACGAGTGAGCCCAGAGCAAATCATTTCTTGGACGTTTGGAAGCGAGAAATCAAAACTTTAGCATTCACACACAATCATGATGGCAAACCCTGAAGCTATACTGGCATCTGCAATAACCCATGCACTGTTTTTTTCTACGTGGGGTTTGCGCACGCGCGCCCAAAACCATAAACCTAGCGAGCCATGGTGGCTGAAGGCCAGCAAACTTGCTTAGTCTCTAGGCCTCGCACACTTGGCAGATTCAGGCAAGGCTTCAGGAAATGGGCTTGCGTGATCCCAACATCTGGGGTAGCGTTCTGGTGGATCTGGCTGTGTAGAGGCAGGGGCTGGTTTCTACAATATTCTGGGGTTTGGCATGCGGTTGTAAGCTGAGTGTATGAAACTGCGCAATCTGATTTTGTTAAACTCTAAGACTATGAAGGTCAAGCACGTCCTTTCAGAACTTAAGGGAAGCTCTATGCTGTACCACAGAAAAAGCCGATAGCCGGTGTAGCATCGAAAATTTATGTACCGAAGGCAAGGTTTAGATTTCAGCGTTCATGGGTCAATTTTCTTGTTGCCAATCTCTATTGCGCGAAAATTATACACCTGGGTCCTGTAATCTTCAGTCCACATCGGGGGATGTGCGTTCAACATTACGGGGCGGATGGGTTCAAGGACTCTGCTGAATTTATTGTGCTGTTAGCAGATCTGCTCGTGTCACTTTTTGGGGTGAGCATTGCTACAGTTTGCAAAGATTTCTCAGCAACTACTTTGTGTTCCAGATACGAATAGTAGTTCATGCAAGGCGGGTGACTGTTCATGATATGGTCCTCTTCCTAGGCCCTATTTGGCCTGAATACGTCAGAATTATTGAGCCTTAGGAAATGGGAGCGCAGTATTAACGGCCACCCAGGTTTCATGGTTTCACGGAGAGCTTTCCAAATCAACTTGCAGAATGCAAGTTCTGATCCAGAAGGCCGATGAGGAAAATTATTCAAAATGAACAAAAGCATGATTCTGCTACCAATGAATGAAATTGATTTGCGATAGATTCGATTATCCAATAGGTTTCTTATATAGATAATAAGATATTCAAGTAGGGACCACGAATTTCTCTTTTTGGAAACCATCTAACTAGGAAGATATTTTATTTCATGAGAAGTTTTAAGGAGATATGAATATGAAATATTTCTTTCTCTCTAAAAAAAAGATGCAGAGCAGATCCTATGATGGGTCTGGCGCAATTCCGTCTCGAAAATTCGAGAATAATGAATAATTCATATAGAAATATTACGGCGCGGCAACTTGCGGTCATTTCGCTCGCGCGCGGCCTAGGTTTTCCGGCTCGCCCTTAAAATGTCTCTTGTTGCGAGGCTGCTCGAAGGAGCGTATAGATTCAAGACGGAAGATTTTTTTAAAAAAAAATATATAAATTGGCCGTATCTGTCTATGGGGATTTATGCACTCCTCCAAGCCGCCACGTAGATAGTCCAAGAGAGATAAATGAGGCGGAAAGACCGGGCTAGATGCGGGGGTCGCACGAGCCGAAAGCTCCCAAGATTTCAAATAATTTCTCTTTTTCTTTGGGTGTTTACGTTGCGGCTCGAGGGAACGTGTAGATCTATGCGTCGGCATTTACGAAAGATTTCATTTATTCTGCGGAATTTATTTCTTCATTTGTTGACATCGTTGTTTGGAGGAGCGCGTAAATTTGGGATGGAGAATGAAAACTTTTTAGAATTTCTACGTTAGCCGTATCTATCTACGAAGATTTACGCGATCCGTCGAGTCGCCGCGCAGATAGCCTAAGAGATAAATGAAGCGGAAAGGTCGGATTGGATCCATATGGGTCGTACGAGGAAAGAGTTGCGTGATTAAAAAATTTCCTAAGATTTCGAGCTAGTTCATTTTCTTTGGTCGCTTGCGCGGTATCTCGATAGAATATGAAAGTCATCGATTTTTTGATGATCGTTTTTCTCATATTAGAGGTAGCGGCTTAATAATTGTTTTTATTATTTATATCAAAATTAGGAAAAAAAATTATACGAATTTCTATAAGCAAACATATATATTTATTTTTTAATTTATGTATATTTAGTTATATCTATTTTCTATATATTATTGTTTAAAAATATTTCAATTTAATATTTTATAAAGAATTATCGTGAAATCCGATTTCTGGAAATATATAAATACGAAAATAACGAAATATTATTAGATTCAATATCTACTAATATGAAAATTATATAGATGCCGTGGGATATGAATTTCAATTTCAAATTGAACGTTATAGAATTTGGGGATTATTACTAGGGCATTTTTGTCAATATCTTCTCATAAGGGCGCTATATTACGAATTATTGGTATACAACCGAGAGGAGAATCGGGACGTTATTATTTACAAATATTATGGGATTCGATTCCTCGGAACGCGTAAATGACGCGAATATTATAGGATTTGATATTTGAAGGCCTGAAAATTATATATAAAATGAAATTCGATATACGAAAATTCGAAAAATTATTATAAATATTATGATAATTATTTATAGATTTTCTTGGCGATAGCATCTTGGCATCAATAATTTTCTTGAATAGCTTGATAATTTCCGAGCCTTGGCTTCTTGATAAAATCTTGCTAGGATCGACCTCGCGATATCATTTTAGCCAAAATACCCTGACAGTACGCGCGTAATACGTTAGGAGACGAGACTTGAAGCGAATAGATGAATAAAGATTCAGCATCGCATGTTTTCATTATATCTTCATTTCGCTAGGCTAAATTTCGACAGAAGGAAATGACATCCCAGACCCAAGATATATCTCATCGAGATTTCCAAAGCATCTTAACCCCCCAGGACCAATTACTACACGGGATGCTGGGCTGATGGATGCATCCGTTGCGCGCCCAGCCATGCATTCGATAATTGTTTTTCCAATCTTGCATGATTAGATTCCATATCTATGCGAATTGATTGAATCTTATTTGATGGACATGAGGCTTGTTTGCGATATCCTCAAATTTCGGATCAATATGCTCTCTATTGCTTGGCTTCTATCATGATTGGGAAAACGAGAATATATAATTGTATCCGTGATGAGATTTTCCGCTTTTAGTCTGGAGAAGGACTTGAATTGAAAAAAAAAACCTTTGGGATTTTTCCCCGATGATCCCAATAGGGAACCGGCTGAGCTTCTTGCGATTCCTTGCGCGCTGTGCCGTCAATCATCATGGCATTTTCCTCCGCGGATTGCAATTGATTTTGCGGTTGTCTCCCTATTTCGGATGGCAAGAAATTCAAGATCAAAACGGCTCAACCCAGCCACCCACTAAAAAAGCAAGATAAAAGGATTCTGGATTGGTCGCCTAGGGCGGTTGATGGTCCGAATGGACGT